TGCTAATGAGCTCCTGCACCTCTTTTTCTACGAAATGACCCCTGCTTTAAGGTGATAATCTTTTGCCTTGAAACCCTTCAGGGTTGCCATAAGTCAGCTGTGATTTGATAGCCAAAAAATTGCATCAGTGTGGAAATGTGAAATTGAATAAGGAAATTGTTGCCTCAGAGAGGGTGCTCTTGAGAATAAGCTGTTAAATACTGAGTACAGGTACATACCAGTTTCTGAAATGAGGCTCTCTTTTCACTTGGGCCGATACTGCACAGTCACATTGCCTCAGTGTCACCCCTCGATAATATCCGCAGAAATTGACCAGTTCCCCACATGTTGGTCCAGATCGACAATTGACCCGAATCTAATGGTGTTTCCCCCCGGATTTTCCATCTCCGCTATTTTCAGGATCTTTTTTTTACTATGGGGGTGGAGTAGGGAACTCTGGAATCGCGGCTGTCCTCTCTCCACCCCTTTAATGCCCCTCCCCTTTCCCCCTCCCCTTCCCACCTCTCTGTCTGCCTTCCCGCCTTCCCGCCTCTGCCTTCCCACCTCTGTTCAATTGTTCTGCTTCCCCTCCCCTTGGTGCTCATTTTTGTTTGTTTGTTCCCCTGTGTTGTGTTGCAACGCAATAATGACCCAGCATTAACTGGCATTTAAATGTCCTTTTGCACCCCCCTTGCGCCTTGGTGAGCGTGTACTTTACGCATGTTCATTGTTTTGTTTTCATTGTGTTTTCTGGAGCATGGGAGGAATGTTTTACTGCAACCGATGCAGCTGTGGGATGCAGTATAACTTCATGCAGACCATTGCCGTATCTGAAAGTGCAGTTAAAATTCCTGACAAGTAATGAGTAAGGGGAGAGAACCCTTTGTGAGTTTCCTCTTTTCGCGGGCATTCAAGTTAAAAAAAATAAAGGGACCAATCACGGACTGTTTGCATAACAACACAACCACACATGCGTGAAGCATGTCTGTTTTCCATAGTGGGTTGGGTGCGTCACAACTAGGGTTGCCAAGTCTAATCGACTTACCGGTGGGGGAGCGTCGCAGGGCTCCGGGAGCTCTCCTCCACGCGTGTGCGTGCCGCCAGCAGATCCCGGAAGTGACGCGCTACGTTGATCACATTGGGGGCGTGGCCACACTGCGCTTTGGGGCGCGGAGTTCCCCCCCCGGGGCCTGATTCGCGGCGGCGGAAATCGGGCCTCCAAAGCAGGGGTTTACCCGCCCCCGCCCCCACTTGGCAGCCCTAGTCACAACGCAACCACGCCTATGATTTTAAAAAAGGAGGGGGAAGAGAGGGGAGGGGTCGCTAGATTCAGGGCAAGGTGAAATGCAGAAACGCAGAACCGGGACAAACCCGGGCCAGAGTTCCCTAATGCGGAAATCCCCCAGCAGAATCGGGCCAATTAGACCTGGGGGGAACGGAAAGCAAAACATTAGTGCGGAAATCAGCCTTGGACTCTGCTGACTGGGATACACTGATCTGTGCCTTGGTAACCTCTAGTTTGGATTACTACTATAACATGCTCTACATGGGGCTGTCCTTGAAGGTACTTTAGAAACTTCAGTTGGTAAAAATCCAGCCACATCCATCTGCTGACAGGAGTTAGCCATTGATTACAATATGACACCAATTTTGGAACCGCATAGTTGGTTAAATGTCTATTTCCAGGTTTAATTCAAGGTGCCAGTGTTTACTGTTATAGTAATTCATGTTCTGAAGGGCCGCCTCTTCCCTATACACCTGCTCAAGTTCTTGGAGCAGCTGCTCTTTTTGTCATTTTCTTTTAGGCAGCCTAGGTCTTCATCTGCTGGAGTGTTCACTTTTTCTGTAGTATTACCAGCTCTTTGGAATTATTAATGAGCAAGCAGCCTTTTGGCCTTGGGGCTGCCTATCCTGTAGAAATTGCTCCATCACTTACCTACATTTAAGTTTGTCAGGCATCTTGGATGCCTTGTGGAATTTTTGATAAAAGATAAAAGGGATTTGTTAATCTGCAGTTTGTAGGACACTCTCCTATGCCCCGTGGTGCCATTAAAATAATGTTTTCACAGTCTAGCATATAGTAAGATAGCATTCCCCCAAACATCACAGGGCCCTATTCTGCTCTTTTTGCAGCTTTCTGACCACCAACACCCAAAATCATTAAGCATACTTTACTTGGGGTTCATTAACTATAAAAACGACTGTCGTGTTTGCAACCCTATTATTAAAACAGACAAAGTTTTGCTTGCTTGTTGAAGACTGGCCAGTTATAAAGAATAAATATTGTACAAGAGGCTTAAAGATTAAAAAAAGATCACCATTACCAAGGCTTCTTTCCCAGCTATCAGTCCGTGTAAAGCCCAGCTTTTATTCTTTATTTGAAACAATGTGTAGGCACCTGCCTTGTGTTAACTACACAAGGCGTCTTTGGCCACCAAGCACTGCTCTGTTAGGACAGCATAGCGTCTGTTTTAATGGGTAATAATGAATGTCCATTACAAGTGTGTGTGTTTTTGTATATTGTAGTTTAAAGATTAAACACAGTGCTGTAACTATAAGACCAAGTTTACCAGTCTGTTCCTGCTGGTGTCATCTTCTGTCTTTGCAGCTGCTGAAGAATACAGTAGCTTTTATGTAGATAACAAAGGCACCTTCATGCATGATGTCTTGGAAGAATTGTAATTGTCTGAAGGAAATGTATATAATCATCCATTGCATACATCCCTTTGAATGAAAGGAAGAGCTGTCTTAAATTATTATTTTTTTGGGGGGGGCCTTGTTTGAAAAGAAATGTTTACCTAAGACAATAAGATGTGTAAATGCTGGTTTTAGTGTAGCACCACCAAAATATGTATAATGTATACAGTCTGTTGAAGGAAGAGACAAGCCCCTTTTAATCTAAACTCAAGCAGAAGGGGAGACAGAAGGAGGGATGTTCTTGTTGCTTTGCTTACACAGGCTTTTGAATCAAAAGCTGGAGGTTAAATTCAAAGTAAGCTTGTGTGAGAACAACAAGCCTTTCCTTTTATGGACAATTTTTTGTCAGTTTTCATCTTGGAAAAGCGACATGCTCACCATTTTAGCACACTTTCTCTTGAGTTTTTTTTACAAACTAATTACATTTTACAAACTAATTATATTTTTGACTTTTGATTGTAGTAAATCAATGGGCCAGGCTGCGAACAATTACTGCTGCTTTATTTGTCTCTTGCTCTCATAATAAGTTTTTTCTGGAAATGTGAGATGGATACCTCAAAGCATTATTTACGAAAACCTCAAATGCAACTATTTTTAGTCACTTTAAAATTGCCAAAATCCAGTACTAGTGGTCTAGTATATTGTAGCAGGTTTTTACACAATTTGTTGTTTCAGTAGACATGTTATTTTGCTCAGCTGTGAGCAATATTCATAAGACGAATAAGGAAAAAAGTTTGCATACGGCAGCTACAGTGTGTCAAGATTGTGATATATTTAGAGTTACCGTCTGAGTTTGCTTCCCTCTTCCAGTTAATGTTTTTTAACACCAAATACATGTGTGGCAGTTTCTATCTTGCTGTTGGACAATTTGCCTTGAGTTCTGTGTTTCTGTGTAGTTGCACTCATAACCACTCCCGGGATAAAATATATTTTCTGCCCTTCTGTTTGGGAAATGTTTCACAAGGATCATATATAACTATACAGTCTGCTCTAACCACATAGGTAGAAACAAAGATAAGAAGCAATAACTAAGCAATGTAAAGAACTATATTAACAGCAACTTATACAGCAGAAGAATCATCCATGGTTCATTCATAGTCCAGTAAAGGTACAATGAAAAATAAAGTTCACAGATATTTAAGATGCTCTGTGCCGCAAATCAGTCCATTCAGAATATGTAAGCTTCCAATAGAGACTTTCCAAATATTCCAACTTCAAATGTGTGAGCACATGAAAGCTTATACGGTACCTGGAATAACTTTGTTGATCTTAAAGGTGCCACTGGACTCAAACTTCGTTCTGGTTTAGGAAGGGTGCATGTTGTATAGGTAGGGGTGAGCATGGCTGCGGTTTTGCATTGATAGATACTGTGGAAGTAGGTTATAGCACAACCTGGAAAAAAATCATCCTCCTCCTCCTAAGAGGTATTATCATTTAAACTGGTTAATACAATTGACTTAAGTCAATAATTAGGCCCTAGCTAATAATCTTCAACCTCAGTCACGTTTCCCATTTGTATGCTGCAAATGAAAGGACTTGTATTACAGGCATGGTCTTTTGCCATTGCTTTTGCAAGACCGTGGGTGTGGTCAGCATTTTGAGTGGTGCTGCTCCACTTGCAAAAAATTAAGGCCCTGAAAGCTTTCTGCGTTGATCTCCTTACCATGAAAAGATACATCTGAACAGTTCAGGGTGGAGCTGGATTCAGGATTAGGCCAATCTGATTTGTCTAGCCAAGGGTATCTTCATAGTAACAAAGTGTGCAATATATACTGCACAGTTTGTCACTGTGAAGATACCCTTGTGCAATATATGGGCTACCATGATGTGGTATGGTATGTGATGAGCCTATAATTGTATAGTTGTAATGTTTTTCTCTTAATGGAAATAAAGTGTGCAGCATACAAAATTTGACTTTCACATTTTTGATGCGGAGGGTTATCTTCTGGTTGAGTACTAAATAACAAATGCTGGTGCCTAGGACATGGCTAAAATTAAAGCAGATGTTGTGTAATGGCCCTCGCTAACTTCATGATCATAATCCTATTAGGATAAAAAGGTCACAGGGAAGAAACGGAACTGCAGAAAAAAGAAAAACCCTCTGCAGTCTACACAGCCAGTGAGTTCCTTTAATCTTAGTGCAGCTGGTCATCAGGATAGTTAATTCTTATGTGAATTTTCATGTGAATAATTTGGCTGATTAAATAAGTCTGTTCTATGAAAATCTTGAGATGTCAAAAAATGGTGTGAATGCAATTGATCTGTTTTATTCTCCTTGCCATGTTTAGTAAAGACTTGTTTTGTTTTTTCCCCCTCCTCTGAAGAATGTGAAACTGTCTGCTGAGGTAGAACCATTCATTCCTCAGAAGAAGGCTCCTGATTCACTCATGATGCCAATGGTGCTGCCTAACGATGGCGGAAGTGTTGGTGGTGTGGAACCAACTCCTATTCCCAGCTATCTGATTACTTGCTACCCGTTTGTTCAGGAAAACCAGTCCAATAGGTAATGGATGAATTTTATGGGTGAAAGGTTCAGATGCTAACTGGATCTGTTTCTTGGGAGATTTTTGTTTGTTTTTCTTTTGTCTCACACCAAGAGAGAGAGCCATACCATTTCTGTGTTTCCTGGAACACTTGGAACAGGTAGGGACTTCAGCGTCTTTGGCTATAATCTTGTTCACACTTCCTTTGCAATAAGCCCCAACTGGGCCTGTGTGACTTGCTTCTGAATAAGAATGCATGAGATTGGGCTGAGCAACAGTTAAATATTATAGCTGTTGAAGGAGTTCTGTATTCCTGATTTTTTTCTTCTTCCATAGGGTTACCAGGTTGACTTACCTTGCCAGCGGGGGGAGGGGGGGAGGAGGCAGCTTTCCGGGAGTGGGTTGGGGGGGCGATGTCCCCAATATGATGACGTCACATGGAAGTGACATCATCATGCGGGGGGTGTTGTATGGTGATGCTGTAGCATTTGGTGAAAAACTCTATGGTAGTCATAGAGTTTTGCCCAAAATGCTAGATTGTTGCTGTGCGACATCCCTGGCATGATGACATCACTTCTGTGACACTCTAGCATGCTTTCTGATTGCATTCTCTTATACTGTGTGAGCCCACTTGAGTCACGGTGAGAAAGGTGGGATATAAATAAAGAAAATAAATAATGAAAGATGTTGAAGGGTGGATCCCCAGGTCCTCCCTCAACTTGCGTATTTGCCAGTACTGCTAAGATGGCTGCTCATGTTGGCGACTTCTAAAATGAGGTGCTAGTGAATGTTTGCCTTTCTATTTTGTATAGCACCATAACGCGATGTGCCAGGCAGAAAACTGCACTTCTTTGTTTTGAGAATAGGGCAAAGGTGGGGTTTGTTGGGCGTCATTTATTCCACATCTCCCTTTAATGTTCACATTTGTTTTGTCCTTTACCTATAAAACTTTTAATGGGGGGGGGGTTTCTTAGACTGTCTGCTATCAAAACGTTTACTGAGGGATAAAAGAAAGTATAAATGAAAGAAAATAAATAAATAAATAAAATACCATTTTACTCAGTAAGTCATTAAAATGTGGAATTTGCTGCCAGAGGAGGTGGTGATGCTTACACACATAGATGGGTTTAAAAGGAGATTAGACACAATCATGGATAAATCTGTGAGTGGCTACTAGGCGTGATGACTAAAGAGAGCCACCAGAAGCAGTCAACCTCTGTATACCAGTGCCAAAGGACATTAAAGGCCTGGGCCTCTGTGCCCTACTGTTGGTCCTCTAGGACCACTAGAGAGGATGCTGGACTAGATGGACCACTTGTCTCATCTAAGAGGGCTCATATTCTTATGTATTCTGGTTCTTATTTTACAAGCTATGAATGTTTTTCTTTTAGCATCCATGTTGCATTTGTATCTGTTGGTTAACATTTTTGCTCCTGTCCTGTTTGGCTTTTTCAGACAACTTCCGCTGTATAATAATGACATCAGGTGGCAGCAGCCTAACCAGAACCCCACCGGGCCGTACCTTGCGTATCCCATTATATCAGCTCAGCCGCCTGTGTCAGCCGAGTACACCTATTACCAATTGATGCCGGCGCCATGCGCTCAAGTCATGGGCTTCTATCACCCATTCCCGGCGCCTTACTCCGCGCCCTTCCAGGCAGCAAGCGCTGTGAGTACAGTTGCAGCAGAATGCACAGATCGTCCAGCCCAGCCAAGTCAGGTCTTTCCGTTGTGTAGGCAGAGGAGCAGAAGTGCCACCAGGGGACCAGCCATACAAAAAGTAAGCTTATTGAATAATAGGAAAAACAAATTAAATGGGTGCACAGTGGCTGGCCGATTGTCAGTGGATTTTGAAATAAGTAATTAAAAGGTGAACCTTCTGTGAGACTGGGAATAACCTCTCATTGCACTCTGTTTCTGCAATCTTTGTCCCCTATTAAGTGCCTTCAGATCCTGTTGATTTCCATAGGATTTCTCCACAGACAGGCACTGGAGGCGGCTGGGTTGGTAGCCACAGTGTCTTGGCACTTGTGCTGCCTGGAACGATGCTGCAATTGTGTGTTGCAGAAAGCATTTTGCAATCTGTCACTCTTAACACCCTGAAACACCAGTTTGGAAGTTATGTGTATGGTTTATGTGTTCATCTGGATGTGTTAGGAAAACCTTTAACCCACATTTGTGCAAACATGAACAGGTGGCACAATATTAAATTGCACTCCTAAATGAAAGAAACCCCAAACTATACACACATCAGAATACAAAGATGACTGCAGAACTGAAAATGCACTTTAGGCCCTAAGAGCTAGAAGAACAATGCTTTTCAGTAATTTTTGTTCACATAGTTACTCCCCCCCCCCCAAAGTACATTGCAGTGGAGATGTACTGAAGCAATTAACATCACTCCCTCCATCACATTATTCCTGGTTAGGTGGAAGCTTGAATGGCTTTCCAGTTCCTACCAGTCAAAAAGTTTTCATTTATTTTATTTGGTTGAAAATGGAGCATTGTTAGCTGCATTAACTTAAATGTTTCCCGACACTTTTGTGAAAATGTCAGCAGTTTGATATTCTGGGTTTCATGTTCCGATTGGTGTTCCTGTGCTTCAACACTGCCTTCCACTGTTTGTTTGTTTGTTTTTTAAATGATGATGATAATGATGATGATAGCTATCAGTACCAAACATCTAGAGCAGGGGTGGCCAAACTTGCTTAACGTAAGAGCCACACAGAATAAACATCAGATGTTTGAGAGCCGCAAGACATGAACAAATATTACTCACACATTTTTATTGAAAAATACGCAAATTTGCCTTTTATTAATATTAGACTGTGTGAAAGTTTGGCCACCCCTGATCTAGAGTTAGTATGCATATAGTATGCATAGTTCATGCATATGCAGGTTATTTTCCATAATCCATATTTACTGCGTATTTGTGACCAAAGGGGGTGCCTGTTGCTTTTGCAGCACTCCATAAAATTTAGTCCTGCCTAAACAGAGTCTCCAGTTTGATTGCTAATTTTTATTCCTTGGCTAATCTTCTTAAAACCAGCAGCAGCCTTTGCAGTCGCACATAAAAAACAAAAGGCCTCCAGTGAAAAGTGTTGCTACTCAGAAAGAGACCAGTGCATCGGGCCCTGAGAGCAGACCGAAAATCGTGTTGCTTGTGGATGCTTGTCAACAAACGGGTATGTCGATATTGGGGTGGTCCAAGCATGACTGGGGAGGAGGGGAGGGCCAGGCCTGCTGATGGTGCTTATGATTCCTCTTTATGCACCTGAGGGTGAGAGTGAGTTTTAAAACTTGGTTGGCTCAGGGAGCACGGTGGAATATTGGGTGAACGTTGTCGTCAGCTGGAGCAAGGTTTTCACCGACTTGTCTCAGATCTTGCACACCTTTTCCACTGGCCCCTAAGCAGCTTTCTGGTGGATTTTCCTATCCATCACCAGTCCCCAATGGTTGATGTGTGGGCTGTGTGCTTGTGCATGTGCCGCAATCAGTAGAAACGCTGATTTGCTTGTTTTTCTGGGAAGCCTTCCTTCTACGTCTCAGAGACATGGTGATGCTGGCATTCCTTACCATCAAGCTGGCGGTAAATGGAGAACAAGGTAAGCTGCTTTGATTTCCCGTTGAGGAGCATATGCTGATTGTATTTTAACACTAACTGAGGGCAAGAGCTCTTGAAGTCATCAGTTTTGCAATCACAGTGCTTCCAGTACTGTGCTGCATAGTTGCATATATTAGAAATTATTCGGTAGCCAAGGCTGAAGGCACTCTTTGTCCAAGGGCTTTGGTTCTTATTCTAAAACATTTTGAGGGTGTGTACCAAATATGAGTCCTGCTTGCCTCTCAAATTCTAAATGTGTTTTATTCGAGCCATCCTCCTAGTTCCTGATAATATGACCTTCAGCATGTTGTCTAGGGTTTTCTTTTAGGGTAATATTCCATCCCAAAGCTTGTGGGGAGGGGGGGATCCATCTTCTGCACATGGGGTCCCATGCTGACTTTGTGCACAGAGGAATGTGCATGTGTTCCTGTTGGTGGGACCACAGTATGCTGCAAGAGCTAGCATGGCGTAGTGATGAGAATGTGGGGCTAGGATCGGGGAGAGCCAGGTTCAAATCCCCACCCACTTACGGTAAGCTGCTTTGATTTCCCGTTGAGGAGGAAGCTGGGGTATAAATGAAGTGACTAAATAAATACTCTCTCCCTTGGCTGCTTGTTATGTTACGATGATACTGTATGTGCAGCTCCGAACTTTGCAAGCGCTATATAAATGCAAAATCTTATTGACTGGTGGCAGAAGTGTGTGTCTGCAGCCATGTGCACCTGTGGCGGCATCTTAGAATCATGTTGATAGGGTCTTGGATGTTTCCGTCATAAAATGATGTAATTAAGCAGTTGAACTAAGCAGTGAAACTGATGTGCCTGTCGCGTTGTAATTGAGCTGCCAGGATTAATTTAATAGAAATCAATATTATGCAGCTTCTTAAGAAAGCTGCTTATTATTTCGTCTAATTTCATCCAATTTAAGATTAATCTAATGTCATGTATAATTACTGCTGTTTATAATCTTCATAAAATGTTGGCAGTATCACACAGTGTACAGAACTGTGAGGTCCTTAGCCAGAGATCTTGCTATCTTGTACAAACAAAGGTGGAGGCCAGAGGGCATGATAAAGCTGTAGCAAGAATAGCATTGGGGTGGCCAGGTAGGAGTTGATAATGAATTACTTAAGGTTGTTTACAGTTTCTTGCCCTGGAATAGATTTTTTTTGTCAATTTGCCTAACTTTTTTTCCACTGGCCATAAAAACACGTCAGCCAACCCACTCTAGCCTTGGTCTTCAGTGGTGCATTTCCTTACACTTCAATAAGCTCAGGTGAGAGCAAATGTGTTTCAGAGACTGTATACACACATCCACACACATACATATATATATTAAAAATGCTAATTGTAGCTCAATTTGTTTTAACAGTTGGGAATTGGGACTTGGTTGTTGGGACCTGGTTGGAACATGCAATGCAGATGTAAGCAGAGTTACACTCTTCTGACACCATTGCCTTCAACTGACTTAAAAGGGTGTAAACCTTCTTCTAGAATTACGGTGATCGTGGCCAAAAGAATAAGCTAGGACCTCTGTTGTTGCCTCCTCACTAGGTGCCCTTTAAAGAAGCCATATTTATCCAGCCATAGTCAACAACATGGGGATAGTTATCTTGCCCTGTTGTGAGGATTACAAGGAGATAACGAGCATATGAGGCTCTTTGAACTGTGTAAAAAATTCTTATTCCAAACATAAGGAGAACTGCTATAAACTCAGTGTCAGCATTCTGTGACATCATGCGAACTTAAAAGGGCGCTTAATATCTTGATGCAAAATAATGGTCAGTCCTCCAATTGAAACCCTTCCCCCATGTAATTTTTATCTGCCTATTAGTCATTTCTAGGAAGAAGTATTTTAACTATCAATGGGCAGATTAAAAAATGAAGTAACAGTCTGTGTTTCCCAAGTTGTTGTTGTTGTTGTTCTTGGACATGTAGAAAACTCCCATTATAAAAAAAGATTTAAAACTTACATCAAGTTTGATCATAATTGTTAAAAACCTACATGGAGCATTGCTTTAGCTTCATCTGTCTTTATTTTTATGTGTAGCTTTAAAAAAAACCTGCTTAGTCACTTTAACAACATACTGTGATAGTAAAATTGCGCAAGAGATGGGCTTTGATGATAGCTTACTAGAATGAAGAGTTCCAAGGTAATGTTCAGACTTTACTAATCTTCACTGGTGCATGTTTGTTAAAGTGTGGTCCAGTTGCTTCCGACTTATGGGGATCATATGAGTTAACAGAACACTGGCCCCGGTCACACGGGCAGGAAACTGCAGAGGAGAAGCGTGGCTGTTTGCCCTGGGGCAAACTACTGCGCAGTTACGTGATCAGACCTCCTGTGGAGATCCTGTGGAGGTTCCATGGCAAGGGAGAGGTGCCGATCACAGGACAAGCCGGCGCACAACGAAGACGCGCGCGCCGCGGCAAACGGTTTTTTATTTTTGTGTACATGACAAATGCGCATGCTCCGTTGGGTGCGCATGCGCATCCACAGAGACCTGGACAAAAAAACCCCACCTTATTTGCAAGGGGACATGGGCGGGCGCCGGATGCCACCGGAAACGTGATCAGACGCCTGCCCTTGCTCCGCAGTTTCCGGAAACTAGTACCTCCAAGGTACTAGTTTTTTGCCACGCAGTTTCGGCTGGAAACCTCGGTTGAGCCACGGGAGTGCTACGCTTCCCAGATGTGCTGGTGAGATCGTGCCCGGAAACTCCGGCTGTTTTCCGTCTCACTTGTGTGGCTTCTGTTACGTGTGACCGCAGCCAAAGTTTGAGTTCAGTGGCACCTTTAAGACTAACGAAGTTTTACTTTGGGTGTAAGCTTTCACGTCTTCAGATACCACACTTCTTTGTGTGCATGTACATGAACCCTTATACCCAGAATAAAACTTTGCTGGTCTTAAAGGTGCCACCGGACTCAAAATTTGTCCTGCTGTCCCACCTGAATCTGTGAATGAATGACCTCCAAAGCATCCTATCGTTGACAGCCTTGCTCATGTCTTGCAAACTGAAGGCCGTGGCTTCCTTTATTCACTGTGTCATGAAAGCTAATTTTGTGTTAAAAAAAATAAGCTTTCAGTACTGTGGCCTTTGCTATTTCTTTGTGAGAACTTGGGCACCTAGGCAGTGATAGGAAGGGAAACTCCCTTCCACTTGTCACTGCAGCGCACACATTTGCAATCTCCCCCCCCCTTTTTTGCAGTGTAGTGTGCCCACATAGGCTAGTCCTGCTTATGCTGTCTTTTTTTAAGAATCAGTTCTGGTGTGTTTACTTAATTTGCTTATATATCAGTTCAAGAACTCTTAGCCCCTGATAATCTCAGTTCTGTTGCCTTGCAGACTTCCCCTCAGAGATAGCCAATAAGTCACTCTCGGAGAGCATGACCATGATGCACTGGAAACCAAAAGGCAGGCGACGGCGGACCTCCCACCCAGCGGAATCCTCTAGTGAGCAAGGAGCTAGTGAGGCAGACATCGATAGCGATAGTGGGTACTGTAGTCCTAAGCACAGCAACCAGGCTGCGGCCATGAGTTTGAGAAGCACCGACTGTGTTGCACCAAATGTAGGTAACCTGTCCCATTCCACCTGCCCAAAGGCTAAAATAACACAACATTAGCAAAACGTAAGAAACAATCACTATAATTTCTCTTTTGTATTTTTTTCCAGATTGGGGAGCCATCAGTACATTCAGGTACAGTTTCTAATATTACTTGATCAAAGAAATCTGACTGAGTTTAAGCTTCGGCCATTTTTACTTGTGTCCCCTAAACAAACAAAAATTGATAGAACAAGTTATGGGCGCTTATCTGGCTTGCATAAGAGACACAACTCAGTGCTGCCTCAGCTGTCTAAAAAAGTGCATCCCTATTTCCGTACTCTTAACTCACTGCCTGGCAATCATGTTTAGGCTCAGCTGAGCAAATTTAATTTCTTTTTGGTTTTGTTGTCTTAATACTTTCTGTAGTGGCTGTTCCTGTTCCATTATCTTTTGTAGTTCTTACGTAGTTAAAATATTTATTAGCTGCTGCCTCTCTATTTAAAAATGCCGGAGGTGGGTTGCAGCATTAGAACAATTGACATCATCAACATTTATTTCCATTTTTTTAAGTGAATTGACATAATTATAGCCTACAATGATACTGAAATAGGAACACAGCAATAAACGTATTTGTAGTAATAAAACATCAACAGAGGATCATAAACAACATTAATTACATTTAAAAAATGAGGAGGCAGTTTGAGCAGTTTAAACACTAAGCATTAGAGTGACCATAAATGTGTAAAAAAAAAACACAGCACTTGTCAGCAAGATCTTGTCAGGCCCTGATAAAGCAGACCCTGATTAATCAAAGAAGTTTTGAAAACAGAGCAATAATCCAATGAGGAGGCCATCAAAAGAGCATAAATTTAAGAGTGACCCTAAGTAAACAAATGGCTTTGAATGACTGCTGAAACTTCAATAGGGCTGGTGCCAACTGAATAGCTGATAGGTGGGAATTTCACATCTGAGGTGCCCTAATGGAACAGACCCTGTCTTCAGTGTCCACCCAACTTAACTCAGAAGTTGGGGGTGTACAGAAGAGAGTCTCTGGTGAAGATCATAACAGAAAAGCAAGTAAAATGGTTCTGACTTTACCAGTGTTACTTTACCATTTTTGGTGTGTATAACTGGTCTGCCAGTCTATTCCAAAACTGTCCCCTTTTCTGTTTCTGATCTTTTCTCTTTTTTTAGCTTATTTCTCCAGATCTGTATTGCTTCAATTCTTAAGACTCCAGATTAACAATTGGGTCCCGAATGTGCCATTTTTATGATAATGTCATGCAAATAATTTACCACGGGAGCAAAGGCATAGCTGATTCAAAAGAAAACATGTCATATTTTATGCAAGGGCGTAGTGACTGGAGTGGCAAGAAACAATTGTTTCCTGCCACTCAAGATTGTCTCTTGGCTGATGAATTACAGACAAGGTCTTTGCTGGACTTGGTGTTGCACACAGTGCTTCCGTGTAAGTTGAATCAGGCACACTTCTCTTTGTTTCTGCACACCTAACATTTTGGTGTAGTGGTTAAGAGTGGTGGACTCTAATCTGGAGAATCGGCTCTGATTCCCCACTCCTCCACATGCAGCTGCTGGGTGACCTTGGGTCAGTCAAAGTTCTTTGAGAGCTGTTCTCTCAAGAGCAGTTCTCTCAGAGCTCTCTGAGCCCCACATACCTCACAGGGTTTCTGTTGTGAAGAGAGGAAGGTAAGGAGATTGTGGGAAGGAGATTGTAAACCGCTCTGAGAGTCCAAGTGAAGGGTGGGGTATAAATCCAATCTCCTCTTCTTCTTCTTTACTATATGTATATATTTATGGTGCTTCTTCCAGGTGGTGTCACTTGGTCCAGTGTCAGCTCCCAGGCTACTCAGAAAAAGCCCTGGATAGAGAGAGCACCATCTTTCACAAGAGGGGGAAGGCAGCCTGAGCATCGTAGTAATTCACAGGTATCCTTCCATTGTGAAAATCCAAGATGCTGACCTTTATCTAAGCTATCCAATGTGTGGCTTTTTAAAATGCAAAGCTAAGAAGCAGGTAAAGCTGGTTTTTGGATGCTACTAAAGCGCAACACATTATTGGTGGTGGTGACCATCGTGGGGACACTGTTTACCTTTTCTCCCTTAGTCACCAGAAAGAGTTGAGCCTTCTCTGTGTTGATTTCTGTCATGTCCTCGTGAGTCTGAGTGTTCTTGTGGTTTAATTTTCTGCTAATATGCTCAGGATGAACAGGAGAGTAAGAAGGTAGTTGGGGGAGAAGGCAGGGGGCAGGGGGAGAACTGGCAGCCATCCAGTCTAGCACTGGAGAGTGCTACTTCATGCCAAACATGTGGGTACTGGTTTGAGCAGCCCAAATTTTCATACATGAGTGCATCAGACTTAATTTTTTTCATAAGAACTAAGAAGAGCCCTGCTGGAGCAGACAAATGGTCTGTCTAGTCCAACATTCTGCATCATGCAGCGGCCAACTGGTTACTCCAGTGGGCCATCTACAGCGACAGAGGTTTTCCCCTCGTGTTGCCTCCTGACACTGTTATTTAGAGGTTTACTGCCTACAAATGCGGAGGTTCCCTTTAGTCATGATGGCTGGTAGCCCCTGATAGTCTTATCCTCCCCAAATCGTCCATCAGACGAATGCTGATATCCACTTAGAGCTTGAGAGTTTCTTCCATCCAGATGTCTGGTTAAACTGTTCTGGTCCAGTTCTCTAAATTTAGCCTTTCAGCACATGCAGTCTTTGTGGAAGATCTCCCACTTTTTCCTGTAAGAGTAAATATGATAGAAAGATGATTATATTTGTTGGTTGGTTGAAAGTACCATCAAATCACAGCTGACTTACAGTGACCTGTAGGGTTTTCAAGGCAAGAGACTTTTGGAGGTGATTTGCCATTGCTGGCCTCTGCGTCACAACCCTGGCATTTCAAGGTGGTCTCCCATCCAAATAGTAGCCGGGGCCAGCCCCGCTTAGCTTCTGAGATCTGACAAGATCAGGCTAGCCTGAGCTGTCCAGGTCAGGGCCGGATGATTATGTTGACAGTATTAATTTTGCATTTAAACTATGGCACTGTCTTTTATGGCACCAGTTCTTTTAATATGTGTGCTTTTTTTAATGTGCGCTTGTAGCCTGCCTTTCGATGCAGGGGGCATAGCACATCTTCAGAAAGAAGACAGAACTTGCAGAAACCCGTAGCAGGAAGCCAGTCAAACAGAAAAGACCAGAGTCCTGAGCCTTTATATTTTCAGGTGACCTCTTCTCTCTCTCCCCCCCCCCCTGTATCAACTTCATTTTGATTGAACCAAAAAAGCTGATTTATGTTTTATTGGACCACTGGAACTCTATTGCCTATCTTTAAAAATAACATTTTTTCCAGCAAACCAGAAGAAAGATGAAATTATGCTATGAAAACAATTAAGGTTTTATAAAGGAGCAAATATTCAGGTCCACATTCATTGAGAATATGTATTGTACTATATTCCATGATTAATACAGTCATGGAACTGATGTATGGGGGGGGGATTGCAGCACAGACATTCCTTGAGCAGAGGAGCTTTGTTGCAAGAGGTTGGACTTGTGGGCAGAAGGTTATGTGTCCTATGTGGGTCTGGACCACTGAGGTGCAGCCCACCATGTAGTGCTTGAATCCAGAAGGAAAGACATCATTTGTAATTGTTCACTCCATTGTACATTTATGCTGGATATGTATTTATTTCCATTTTTTTTAAAAAAATAGATAGCTGTTAATTAGAGTTAGGACCCCTCCCCAAAGGTGGGTAAGGACTGCTTCGTAGGAAGACACAGGATTTAACCAATACGAATATATTGCCACTTCACCTTAGGCCAATCTGGTAATTTTCTGGGCATGATCTAACAGAAGCTGCCTTGTGTCAGACTGTTGTTCTCTAACAATGAAATCCAGTTCATTAGATGTATTAGACTAGGTTTTTTAGTTTCATTGGGTTTTAATTGTGTGATCCAGTTTTATTGCAGCAAGTGTCGTATGTACAATATAGGTCTTTATGGCTTTTATAATTCTGTGTTATGCCTTGAATCTCACTGGGGAAAGGCAGATGACAAATAGGTAAATACAACATAAAAATAAAATTGGCCTGCACATGAATTTGTCTTCTACTGAATCAGACTGTTGGTCCATAAGGATCAGTATTGTCCTCTCAGACCAGCAGCAGCTCTCTAGGGTGTCAGGTTAGAAGTACTTCTCATCACCTCCTTTCCCCCCCTCCATCAAGTCACAGCTGACTTATGGGGTGACCCCATAGGGTTTTCATATTCTAACCAACCGCTAACTCCCATAAGCAGATGATGTGGCCAGATTTTTACCAACTGACATTTCCAAGGTACCCTCAATGGCAGCCCCACGTAGACCGTGTTATAGTAATCCAAACTAGAGGTTACCAAGGCGCACAGATCAGTGTGGCCCAGTCAGCAGAGTCCAAGTGAAAAGGGAGCCTCATTTCAGCAACACTGTGTTACCTGTACTCAGTATTTAACAGCTTATTCTCATGAGCACCCACTCCGAAGCAGCAATTTCATTATTCGGCTTCACATTTCCACATTGTTGTGCAATTTTTTTGCTGTCAAGTCACAGCTGACTTATGGCAACCCTGTAGGGTTTCCAAGGCAAGAGATGTTCAGAGGTGGTTTGCCCATTGCCTGCCTCCACGTCATGATCCTTGTATTCCAGGATCCAAATACTAGCCAGGGCCGACCACGCTTAGCTTCCGAGACCTGATGAGATCGGGCTAGCCTGGGCTACCCAGGTTGGGGCATCACCTACTACTGGATCCTCTTAACTGGAGATGCCATGGTCTTCTGGCACTATCACTAAGCCATCGTCCCTCCCCTAGTACCGTCTGCTTTGAAAGAGGCTCTTCAGGATCTTGGCAGAGGTGCTTTCCCAGCCATGAGCCGTGGAGACGCTGTACATTGAACCTGGAACTTTTGCATACGCAAGACATGCTTTAACAATGAACTGTGTCTCCTTTGTTTACCAGCAGTTGTGCAGTGCCTCATTGAGATTTTGAGTGGAACGTCTTGCAGCACAACTTGTCCTTGCTTAAATGTGTTGCATAATGCATGTGTTCATTTTGGAGGCACACAAATTAAAATGTCAAAACTCTTCCTATGGATCTCATGCTGCTGGTGTTAAGAGTGTTCTTTCCTATTGACGTTGTTGTGTTTCTCCCTCTCTGACTGTAGCATCATTTAAGTACCTATCTCGTGATTAGGCAATTAGGGTTTTTTAATCATTCCAGTTTTGCATCTGTTCACTTCTACGCTCTGTCCAGTTTGTCCTTGCTGCCTGCTATGGAGGAAGCACTGTGAAATTTCAGTTTTTGATCACGCACTTTAAAACTCCTCTCAATCTCTGTTTAGGATGAAGAAGAATTTCCAGAATTAAATGGCGACAGTGGAAATTCTAAAAGTGCAACTATGCAGCAGAAACATGCACCAAAAGTGGTAAGTAAAACACGCCTAGTTGATTTAAATGAAATTCTGATTTTTCAAGTATAGGTTGCTAAAGACGTTCTCCAGTTGTAGACCTTTAACTTTTGCTTCATCTTTTTAAAAAGTTTCTAGCCCTTATGGCTGCAAAGATGTGCCTGAAAATGGGTGAATGATGCCTGCTGAAACCTCAAAAGCCACATGAGGAACCAGAATAAGCTTTGCAGTGGCTGAGACTGGACTATCTTGCATAGCTCCTTCGTCTAACCCTATTTTAATTTTGTTTTGTTTTTTACACTGCTTCTCATTCCTTCTGGAGATGGACATCCACCAGTGCCCCATGACACAATTCCCTCCCTCTACTTGCAGGCACCCCCCTCCAGGTTTGCATAAATTATACAGATTTGAGAACCTGGCAGTTTCACTGTGCATTTTTTTTAAGATGGGTGCAATACAGCCCTGAGAATAGGCATATAAAATTTTAAAGCTCAGATTCCTGGAGGCCTACTTTAAAACATTTATTAGTGTCAGTCAACATAATTTAACTCTTCTATGTGTTATGCGACTTCAGGTCACTTCCAACTTGGTGCAACCCTGGGAATGAATGACTTCCAAAATGTCCTATCATTGACAGCCTTGCTGAGGTCTTGTCAACTCAAGGCCATGGCTTTCTTTATTGAGTCAATCCTTCTCATGTTAGATCTTCCACTTTTCCTTCAGCTTTTCCTAGTAATCTTCTGAGCCTCTTGGTTTATAACGTGAGTTGGTTCCATCACAGAACTGTGACGTTTCTTGTTGGAAAGCTGTTGGGTTGCATTTTCAAAATCTGATCACTTTAACTATGTCATGTGATGATTGTGTGATAGGATTTAGCATATACGAGGGTAGGGTTCCCAGGTCTGACTCACGGAATATCTGAGGACTTTGGGGGTGGAGCCAGGGTCAAGGATGTGACATCACTTTTGTGATGTCACTAGGTGCTGGAACTCCGAAGGGAGTTCTGTCTGTCACATTTAAAGGGACCACATTCCTTCTAAATGCTTTTCCTCCATTGGAAATAATGGAGGATGGGGGCACCTTCTTTTGGGGCTCATAGAATTGGACCCCCTAGTCCAATCTTTTTGAAACCTGGGGATCTTCGACGTGGTCTCTGTGCTTCACACCCATGGGATCTAGTGCGCATGTGCTGGATCGATCAGTGCTGTAGCAAGTTCTTTTAACGGATTTTCGCGCCCAGTCCCTCGGGCATGCGCAGGAACCCCACCGTGCATGCCCAGACCATCCCACCAGTTCCTTTCTTACCACCGCGTTGAGTAGACCTATTTTTCGTCGGTCAGATCGGTTTGCTTTTGGCTATTCGCCTCTGCTCTTAGGAATTATTTCCTTAGTTTAATTTTCCTATCTTTTCTCTTTTTATTTGTTTGTTTTTCAAAAACTTTTTTTAAAAAATACATTTATATCTGTTGAGGGGGAGTCTACCGATTGCCTCAGGCCTTTGGGCTATTCCCACCCCTCAAACGTTCCCTCTTCTTCGCTTTCTTTTATGGAGAAGAAGTGGGTTTTTTTCAATAGGTGCAAGGGTTGCGGCAGCAAACTTGCTCCTCCCAACTGTCATACCCTGTGCATTTTTTGTCTCGGAGAGTCTCACCGGCCAGAGTCCTGTCGTCACTGTGCTCGTTTTTCTAATCAAACACGGAAAAACCGAGCTGCGCGCCTTAAAGTAGCGCTGCTTGAATTGGCTCCTCAGCGATGGAGGAGAGACCATCAACATCGACAGCTCCGGCATCGAGACCTGCCTCCGATGCCGACCGCCCGACACCGAAGCTCCCAGCATCGAAGATGCAATCTTCTGCTTCAACACCAATCTAAAAGAAGGCCAAGGCGAGTAAGGATCACAAGTCCGCGAAGAAGGGCACTTCAAAGTCCCTTAAGGCGGCGAAGAAGGGGAAGGGAGTGGTGCCTGCACTGGATGATGCCCCTAAAGTGCCTCCCGCTCCAACGGCGATATCGATATCGGAGACCCAACTCCCTCCACCGATCCCGACCATCCAACTATTGGATTCCCCTATCCAACAAGTGGAGCGTCCTTACTCCAACATCGAGACGGTAGAGCTCCTAAGTCACCAAATGGGTGCTGAGCCTTCTCCCTCTCCTTCTACTTCGTCAGCATCGATGATATTGGAGGCTCTCAATGTCGAAACACGTTGGTACCGACACGCTTCTTGCAGTACGCAATGTCATCCTCTGCGTTTCCATGTCCAATCTGTCGATATCGACAACCGAGACTACAAGGATGGTTCTCACAGACAGACTATTGCTTTGTCTCCCAGATGTCCATGGTCCAGAAGTCAATCCCCCTAGTCTTCCTGCCCCCTCCACCACTGATATCTTGGGATCAACGACAGTTGAGGTACCTGTACGGGGTTTATCCACCATCCATGCCGTGGTTGACTCCGGCGGGCTATTCTGATTGGGATCGCTATTCGTCCCACTCTGTTCATATATCGAGGTCGCCCCACAAGTCAAGACCTTCGGTATCTCTGTCTCGTCCTCCTGCAGATGATCCTTCCCACCATAGTCTGTAACCAAGTCGTCCTCCCAATCCTCAGGACACTCCAAACCCTGTCGTTCCACCAAAACCTATAGCTTGTCAAGAGGACACTTCGGCCCAAATACCACACCAAGACTCCTTTGACTCCATGGAAGAAGACTCGGATACAGAAGCATCAGAGGCTCATACCTCTCCTGACCATAACTCTCCCAACCAGGCTGTCGCTGAGGACCTACCCATATCCCCATCCGACAACCTTATGTCATACACAGACGTCAAAAGTCAAAAGAATGGCCCACTCTTTAGGCCTCTCGATCGTCCAGCAACATCCACAGGCAACAGATGCCATTTTTGATATAGTCCAGCTTGATACATCCTCCACCTTGGCATTGCCTATGTCTTCAGTCCTTTTGCAGGCAGCAAAGGCTCCATGGCTAAAACCCTCGTCAGCCCCAGTGTCCACGAGACGACTGGACCACATGTATAGGGTCCAAGAGGCAGATGCTGAATTCCTATTCTTGCACCCTCAGCCAAACTCGATGGTGATAACATCTTCTTCTAAATCCAAGAGGACACACTCCGCACCTTCTGACAAGGTAGGTAAGAAATTGGATGCCTTTGGCAGACACTTCTACTCCACAGGATCATTGGGAGTCAAGGCCACTAACTACCTGGCCTGCATGAATAGGTAGCAATATACTCTCTGGGAACAGTTCTCTGAACTTCTGACCCACCTCCCAGAAGACAAACTCCAGGCAGCCAGAGTCATCCAAAAGGAAGGCATGCTGTTGGCAAAACAACACCTCATGCTGTTGGCAAAACAGCATGTCCTCGAGGCATCCTCCTGAACGATGGCCTCTGCAATAGCTCTCAGGAGACATTCCTGGCTCCGCAATACTAATCTGCCCATGGATACTAGATCTTATGTAGAAGACTTTCCATTTGATGGCCTGGGACTTTTCAATGCCACTACTGATTCTACTTTACAAGAATTAGATAAAAGCATAAAAGCTTCTCAAACTCTAGGAGTGTCATCCTCTGCGAGGCAACAAGTCTGTCCCTGCACCTGTTCGAGATCCTGGCAGAGGCGTACCCCAAGTCGTCAGTCTTTCTTCACGCTTGGCGTCTCATCACCTCAGACGAGTGGGTGCTTTCCATCTTGACCCGAGGTTACAAAATTCAGTTCCACCAGAACGCCAATACTCCTGTCGTCGTTTCCACGCCCCCTTCCCCACCTCTCCTGGAAGAGGTGTCCTTCCTTCTGCAGAAGGGAGCCATCGAACGTGTACCACCACACCTCCACGGGACGGGGTTTTATTCCCGATACTTCACAGTCCCGAAGCGAGATGGAGGCGTTCAACCCATAATAGATCTAAGGGAACTGAAGCGTTTTGTGACCTACCACCGCTTCCGCATGGTGTCCCTACAACAGATCATGCCATTGCTTCGGAAACACATCTGGATGGCCACCATCGACCTCCAAGACGCGTACTTCCACCTTACCATCCACCCCTCCCACCGCCATTACCTACGCTTTGCAATTGGTCAACAGCATTACCAGTATACGGCCCTTCCATTCGGCCTGTCCAGCGCCCCAAGAGTCTTCACAAAGACTATGATTGTGGTTGCAGCTTTCCTCCGTCTCCGGGGTGTCTCCATCTACCCATATATAGACGATTGGCTTCTGGTAGCGCCTTCCAAGAACGCCCTGGTCACAAACGTCACAGAGACTCTGGCACTATGGGAGAATCTGGGCCTCCAAGTCAATTGACAAAAGCCTCAATTGTGCCCGGTCCAGAGAATACAATACATTGGTGCTATACTGGATTCCAAGACATGCATGGCTTACCTGCCACACGACAGAGCGGCAGATATCATTTCCTTAGCCACCGTCGTCAGTACCCAACCCTCCAAATTCAGAGGCTTCTTGGCCTGATGGCTGCAACTACGTCAGTTCTTGTCTTTGCCAGACTCAAAATGCGTCCTTTACAGCTCTGGTTTATCCGCAACTACGACCTGTCGCATGTGCATGAAAGTATAAGATGCTGCAGAATTTTGTGTTCATTTTATTACCTCTTCACAGTATTTTACCAAAAGAAAATTGCTGCAAAACGACTTCTAAGTAGCTAGATTGATGCAAAAGTCTATCTAAGATAGTTAGCACCCATCTCACTCTAGCACAGTGCAACTTAAAATAAAATTGCTATGCAAAATGTAAGGGCCCTGATATCGGAGGTGATGTGTGAAATTTCTTTTCCCCACCTCCCTCCCAGAGGGCAGTTCACTAGTGCATGGCAGAAGCAGTTTCTGTACTCATAAGAACATAAGAGACGCCAATGTTGGATCAGGCCAAAGGCCCATCCAGTCCAACACTCTGTATCACACAGTGGCCAGAAATACCAGTGCCATCAGGAGGTCCACCAGTGGGGCCAGGACATTAGAAGCCCTCCCACTGTTGACCCCC